TTTCCTAATTGTGTACTTTGTCAGTATATTCATAATATATGGCTAGGTTAGCTACGTTAGCTAGCTTACAGCAGATCTGCAATATTATCGGATGGAATCATGCCATTACATCACATGTTAAAATATGCCGATAAAATTTACATTTTATGGCCGAATTTATAATCCCTGATCATCAAGTGCTTTCGATCCCAGCATCACTTTTTAGTTTCCCCGTTTCCGTTGAGTTTTGTTACTGTAGGTATGGGCTATTGTGAAAAATAAGTACTTTTACTTTTAGCACTTTTAGTGCATTTATATTGTCATCCTTTATTATTTTAAATAAAGGACTTTTGTTATTTTTAATGTTGCTTTACTGATTTAACATATTTCTGAGTTCTGACTGTTTCCATCATTCTCTCACAGCAGCAGGCTGATATGTGTTCAAAAATGTGACTCTACCTGGTTTGCTTTCCTCTGTGATGTTGCCCATTTGCAGCTCAAAATAAGGAGCGTTGTCATTCTGGTCCAGAACTGTGACTGTCAGTGGGACATCATCCTCTGCTTTCTTCCCGTCTTTGAACCTTGCGATCCCTGTTAGCTGCATGAGTTACATCAAGAAACACTTTACTATTGATCTTTGAAGATAGAATACAGACACCCAAACCTCAATTCAATGTTGCTTCACTAGATTTTTTTCGGAGCATCCTGCGTCTTCTCGCAGCATTTCTGAGCAGGTTTGTTTAGAAGAAAGTAAATTGACTTTCATCTATTGCCTGACTGTGGATGTCACAGCTGTCACATCTGCACTTTCTTATCACTGCTGTTTTGTGCATGTGCCAAGCCTGGTCTCTTAATATACGTACCTATTAAACTAAACTTTTATGTGGAAGCATATTTCGTCCCTATGACGCTTGGTTGTCACAAATGCGTTTCTTAAGGTCTGTGGGAATTTATGCCAGGTAAACTCCTTGTTTAAACTTTACATACAGGTTCATTACTACATTTATTTGAAGCTTCGTTAATATTACAAATCTGCTTGCACAAGACGTTGACAATCATCTGAAATATTTGGGCGTTACTAGTGCCTTCTTTATTTGTATTCTCTTTGCTGCTATAACGGTTTTTAATCACTGTTGTAATCCCTGCTTACATTTATTATTTTTTCTTTTCAAATGCATAGAGATAAGCCTACCAAATGTCATCTATAGTATATCAAGTATAATGACAATAAACCCCTTTTGATCTGATCTGAAACAAAAGTCCAAAACAATATACTGTATGCACAAGGGTAGGCTAATGACATTCAGTAAAGCTCTGTGACTGAAGGAACGTGAGCTTTATTCTCCCACCAGTCTTCATCAGGTTTCAGGACAGTACAACTTTAAAGAAAGACTTACATTGTAGAATTGACGTTTCTCCCGGTCCAGTAATTCAGTGATGCGTACAAACCCCGTCTTTCGGTCCACTACAAAGAGATTGAGGGGTTCCTTGTCAGCTCCTTCTCCAGTGAGATAATAATCCACCAGCTCACCTAAGTCTTTATCAGAGCGAATCTGACAACAAAACACAGACAGAGGAATCATGGACTTGCTATTCAGGTTTCCCTCTCCTGTAGTGTAATATATAGGTTTTTGTGAATGTAAATGGTCTGCAAAGGCGACCCAAGCTTTAAAACCAGAGTTCCATTAAGAATCTTGCAATATTTAATTCAGGACGATAACATCCATATCCAGTGTAATGTAATCTAAAATACAAAGTGAGTTGATTGAAACTGTAACAAAACATCCAAGTTCAGTCCACTATTAGTGTTGCAGGATGTTCAACCTAAGCCACTTTGTTTTTTGACAGTTAAATTAATTAATTAGGGCTGATCATTAAAGTTGTTTTAATTATATACACATACAGACAGACCATGGGTCACAGGAGGGGTGGGATGTTGATCAGTATTGGCTTAGGATGGGCGTCTTTACGCGTCTCAACCAATGAGAGCATTTGGGGTGGGCCTAAGACTGCTGCAGAGCTCACATGAACCGAAACAGAAGAGAAGTGGCAGGACAGAAACATTTTAAATCTCTTCCAGACGGCGGAGTTGATAGAACCAGAGTTATTTGTAATCACTGCAAAGTTGAATCTTCTTCTCACTGGACTCTGAGGGTAACTTGTTTTTCTTTAACTAGATAAAATGTTAATGCCCTTGCAGTGGCACATAGCTTTGGTTTTATATTTATATTTGATTATATTAATTAATGTTGAAGTTGAGATTTACAAGAAATATTTCAACTGCTACTGTGTAAAGGGAACACTGTTGTTAAAAAGGATATTATTTGTTTAAAGTGTTTACAAACCAAATGTTATTGCACTTTTGTTATAGCAGTGCTTTTAAAATAAAAGTGCGCAATACACTGGTTTTGAATTCATTATTGAATTTTGCGCATTAATCGAAGAAAATCATGCGATTAATCACGATAAAAAATGGTAATCGTTGCCAAGCGCTAATTTATAGCAATAAATATGTATCACTCTACACAAATAAACGTTAATAACAGATTTGCTTGGGGTACACTCATATTTGTACTCATAAATTACCAATGCAGGCGTGGCTTCTCTAATAATACATACACTCAGATGTTACTGGTACACTATGTTCCCTACCCTATTTCTTATCTCAGCATTTTCTTGGGAACGTTCTGTTAAAACGTCACCTCTTTAGCCTTTACTGCAGCCCAAGGCCAAATCACCCAGCAGCACAGCTGAGGATTCAAACCAGTTGAAACAGGTTGGCTCACTGCAGGCAAAGGCGTGACAGAAACAAGTTTTTTTATTTTTTTTTGGAACATTGAAGCTCATCCAACTGGGCACTTTGCCAGTGACAAATTATAATGACTGTGTTTGCAAGTTGTGGGAAATCGTATTTGGATCAAACCTTGACAATGAATTCCTTGTGTCGGTAGTCAGTGTTTTCCATAAGCTTGGCAGGAGGAAGGATCCACTCCCTCTTCTTCCTCCTCAGGGTCTTTTGCCTTCTCGGTCCTGACTCGGCACTGAGCACCTGAAAGGAAACCACACATACCAATTGAATTTGCTTTTGAATGTTTAATTTTCTGCAAATATAAAATAACATTGTCAAACTCTTCACACAGCAAAGACAAGGTGTGAAACAAGGGCAATATGATTTCAATCCCTTCATTTTTCCAAAGACTTTAGTCTTATGAGTGATCTTTCTTTCCTCTTTAGAATTAAGACAAGAGCTCCAATAAAAAGCTGCTAATATATATATTTCAACGCTATAGCACCAACTACATTTAAGAAGTTTGAATTTAAACATGAACCACTATTGGGAGCTAATTATTAAGAATAAAGGTGATGTGAAGAGCTTTAATGATTACAGCTCAGATAAATATAGTTGATCAGCCACAGCATGAATGAGTGGGGAAAAGGAAATCAGGAAAAGCATAAGTTATGGTTTTGAGGCAGTGGCACCTGTGTTCAGTTCATTTTCTATATGTTGCACTGGAAAATATCAGAACACACAATTATTTCTACAGCTATGCTGAAAATACACAACTGTTCACCTCCCTAAGACCAAATGACATCAACCCTATCGATAAACTGGTTCAATGCACATTAAGCAAATAATATGCTGTAATTCAGAGAAAGGTTAAAAAAATGAGAGAGAAACAGAGACGAGTTGAATAACCAAAAGTCCGTGGCCAGGCCCCAAACAAAATGTGTAAGCATGCATCTAGATCCAGATCAGAATTTTGAATCAACACAAAAAGAATGCCACATTTATACCAGCTTAGAAATTGTATTTGCTACAGTCCAACCAATTCTCTCTGAAAGAGATACTGAGAGAACTATACCTGTCTTTGTTGCTAGCAGGCTGATTTAATGCAATGTTCATAACATTTAGTGCAATGTTCATAAACATTTTTTTTACTCAAGAAAAAGCTATAAATCATTTAGAGATTGTGCAGCGGTATGTGTACAGACCAAGACCACAAAGAAAGCACCAGATTTCAAGTGATTTTAAGTTGTGTTCAAAGCTCCCATGGACTCCCTTTACCTAAGCATCCTCTTATTCTTAATCGAATGTATATAATTCTTTCTTCCATCTTTTACTGTGCTGTGCCC